GTGCAACTCTGTGTCCCTATTAGCCCCCATTGTGCTTATGCCTTCTCATTACAGGCACAGTGGTTCCATAGCTCCTCACCATGGTCCCCACCACCCCACACTCTGCACTCCACCTGGCTCGCCCCGTTCCTTGCTGTCCCTGCAAGATTCAGTCTCAGATCACATGAGGCAGTGTCTTGAAGTACCTACATCCACAGAGGAAAAGCACACACCAGATGCTCTTGGGGATGCAAAAGCAGGGAGAGCCCGATATGAACCCCGCCCTTCAAGGGGTGCCCAGAGACCCATTCAGCTGTTCTTCTCAGAGGCCCCACCAGTAAGAGACCAGCAGTGATTCCAGGTCCCAGTGCAGCTTCCTGGGTTCAGGATATTGGAAAAACGACCCCAAGCAGTGGTAAAATGCACGAAAGGTAAAGTATCTATTGGTGATAAACAATTACAGAAAGGATGAAAATTACTTGAACTGTTTAGAAATTGAAAACTCCTTAAGAGATATGTGTCAGGTCAGAGGAAGCAACTCAGAACCAAGAGTGTCTGCCCTGGTATCTAGCTGAGGCCACTAGGTGTCTCCAAGACCCCAGAAGATGCACAAACAGCTACCTTTGCTCTGGCAGGTTGGGATAGTAACCTCCAACCAGCTAGCACTCCATCTCTCAGGCATCTGGCTTTGCAAAGTCTCCTGCACACACTTAATTAACCTTTCGGCCTAACACCACGGGACACCAGAATTTTCAGCTCCTTCTCTGAGCAAGTCACCTTCGTGGTGGGAGAATATACAGTTCAGAAATTGGCAAACACTACAAAGCCGGGAGTTAAGTGATGGAAATTTTCACTATGTAAACAAAAACCTAAACATATATGGTGCTTGTGGACATGACATTCAGGATGACACAAACATTTTCAGAAAATAAGAAACAATGTACTCACTATACAGAAAAAGGATGATTCTATATGAGTGCAAGTCTAACACGTTTTTGCTTCAGGCTCTTATTTGTAAATGGGAAAGGAAATAGCTTTAACTGAGAAAGAAAAATAGACAAATGATATAAACAGAAATTTTACTAAAGATGTAAAGGTGGGCCCTGGCTGGTGTTGCTCAGTGGTTAGAGTGTCAGCCTGACCAGAAGGTTATGGGTTCAATTCCCAATCTAAGGCATGTACCTAGGTTGCAGGTTTGCTGGTCAGGGTACACGTGGGAAGCAATCAACCAATGTGTCTCTCCCACATTTGTTTCTCTTCCTCCCTCCCTTCTACTTTTTTTTTTTTTTTTTATCCTCACCTGAGGATATTTTTCCATTTTTTGTTCAGGTATAGTGGGAGGGAGAGAGAGGAACAGAGAGAGAGAGAGAAACATCGATGTGAAAGGGACACATCGAGTGGCTGCCACCCACACAACCGACCAGGGCTGGGGACAAACTGCAACCGAGGTACGCGCCCTTAGCGGAAACCGAACCCGGGTCTCTCAGGACCACAGGCCGACGCTCTAACCACTGAGCCAAACTGGCCAGGGCCCTTCTACTTTTTAAAAAAATCCTCACAAGGACACTTTTGCATCTATCTTCAGATAGTGTGGGAGGGAAAGAGAGAAACATCAATGTGAGAGACACACATCGACTGGTTGCCCCCCCGCACAACCCTGACCGGGGCTGGGGACGAACTGCAACTGAGGTACATGTCCTCAGTGGGAACCGAACCCAGGACTTTCTGCTCCACGGGCCAGCACTCTTAACTGCTGAGCCAGACTGGCCAGGGACCCTCCCTTCTACTTTCTAAAATATCAATGGAAAAAATATCCTCAGGTGAGGATTAACAAAAACAAACAAAAGATATACAGGCCTAGCCAGTTTGGCTCAGCAGTTGGAACATCAGCCCAAGGACTAATGTCGTGGATTCAATTCCAGTCAAGGGCATGTACCTCCATTGCAATTAGTCCCCAGATCTGGGGTTCGTGCAGGAAGCAACCAGTCACTGTGTCCCTCTCATGTCAATGTTTGTCTTCCTTCCTCCCTCCCTCCCACAATATCTGAAGATAAATAGAAAAATATCCTTGGGTGAGGATTAAAATAAATCAGACATACAGGTGGTGCCCTGGCCAATTTTGCTCAGTGGTTAGAGTGTCAGCCCACAGACCAAGGGGTCGCTAGTTTGATTCTGGTCAATGGAACATACCTCCGTTGTGGTTTAGTACCCAAAAGTTATACAGGTGGCAAATAAACATGAGAAAATGCTGAGCCACAAATCACTGGGCAAATGCAGTTAAAACTACTGAGCTACCACTACACATGTACTGAAATGGCTGATATTAAATGCTATATGAAGCACTGGCAGGGATGTGGAGGAACCAGGACTCTCATAAACTGCCAGTGGGAACACAAGCAGGTACAATCAGTTTGAGTCAGAATTCGGCAACTTCTTAAAAAGTTAAGACATTCACCTACTCTGTGAGGTGACTTAAACATTTCACTTTCAGTTGTAACGACGCAAAACAAAACACCTCTCCACATCAATAATTGAAATGAAAATGTTCAAAGCAGCATTATTTGCAACAGCCTGAAAACTGAAAATGGCCCAGTTGTCCCCAAATGGATTGTGTTATAATATTCAGAGAAGAAACTACTACTCAGAAATAAATGAGATTGAACTATGCATGTTTATGTAAGTGTCACTGGTGTATCTCAAAAACTTATCCATAATGGAATGGAGAAAAATAATAAACACTTTCATTCGAGTCATATAAAAGGCATTTAAAAATTATTTAAAAGAACACGAGGAACAGATGTTCATTATTATGGTTATGGATTCACAAGTTCATACACATGAAAAAAGATATTGTAAGCTTTAATTTGTAATTTTGAATGTCAATTAGACCTAAAGCTTTAGCATTAAAAAAACAAAATACCTAGCCCTGGCCAATTTGGCTCAGTGGTTGAGTTTTGGCCTGCGGACAAGAGTCTTGGGTGCGGTTCTTGCTAGGGGCACGTACCACCAATAAAATAAAAATAAATAAATAAAACCACCTAGATCTCCAACTCTTTTCAGAAAATAAACTAATTTTTGACTGCACAAGCTCTTCTGTCCTATTGAGGTCTGAGTAGGAAGTGGTGAGCAATGAAGGACTGACAGTCATTATCAGGATATTGATAATGGTTTCATAGGCTCGTATCTATGTCAAATTGTAGGCAGGTAGCCCTAGCCCTACCAAGTGTGGCTCAGTTGGTTGAGCACTGTCCTAAACACCAAAGGGTTGCTGGTTCAATTCCCAGTCAGGGCACATATCCAGATTAGAGGTTTGGTCCCCAGTTGGGGTATGTAGAGATGTTTCTTTCCCTCAGGAGTTAATGAGAATGTTATATATATAATTGGTGTATATATGTTGTACACGTAAACTGGTAGTGAAGTTTGGCTCAAAATTTAAAAAAACTTTATATCCCTTGCCCTGGCCAGTTTGGCTCAGGGGTTGGAGTGTCCTCCTGCAGACCCAAGTTGCAGTGCATGTCAAGGGCATGTAACAAGCTCAGTTGCAGGTTCAATCCCCAGCCCAGTCGAGGTCGTGCAAGAGGCAACCAATTGATGTCTCTCTCTCTCTCTCTCGTTCTTTCTCCCTGTCTAAAAACTTCAGCAGAAAATTATCCTCGGCTGAGGATGAAAAATTTTAAAAAATAAAAAACTTATGTCCCAATCCTTTTGGAAAATAGTTTGTCCTCCCGACATCGGCTCCACCATCTCTCTCCTCACGCCCTCTGTGGTTAATAGTGATTCAAGGGCAACAAATAGGTTACTAATGAACATTTCCACCTGAGTAGGGAGGAATACTGCCTGCATCAAATCACATCCCTGGACTACAAATCCCCCTTTTCTTTTCAGTCGTGCAGGAATAGCTCTGAGGTGAAGATCACTGAGAGGCTATGAGAACCCACAAAACCTTTTGATTTTTATTTTATCTGAAAACAACACCAGCTATACAAGAGAAACATGCCTGAGGAGGGGGGGTTCTAAGATCTGTGCACACTTATTATGAAGTCACTGTTGCAGAAATATAACTGGATGCATGTTCCACCTAGTTGACTGCAGTGTCCAATCCCTATCAGGCCAGAGTTTCTGTACCAACTATGGTTTTCCCGGGATCCAGTCTTTCAACCAATGACTCTAGCCCATTGAATTATGGACATTAGGGCATGTGACTTCATAGACATAAAGGTGTCTTCTTGATCATGCTGGTAAAACCTGCATTATCTGCTTTGGGTGAAAAAAAAATCATGCTACTCTCATAACACCTGAGGTTATCATACCTCACCCCTCCCCAGGGTCATCTCTAAGACTCCTAAAACTCAGCATCCAAATGAGAACCAGCAAGCCCTGAAGTCCATCCTAGGAGGCTGTGGACAGCCATGCAAATTTGGTCAAATATGGCAAATTATTTTCTGCCATCATACCCCAACAACTTGTTCACCTCTTCATGCTTGTAGTCCATAAATTACCCCATACAAAAAAGAACCACCAAGATAAAAGGGGAATTAAAATAAGGCCTCAATTATTTTACCAGGCAAAGCAATGTACAGCAGGCACTTCCAAAGTTCATGAACTGGAAGTTGGTAAATTTCATCACAAGTACCATGTGAAACCAACATGTCCCTGGAACAGGTAGTCATTTCTCCACAAGCTTCAAATGCAAATGAAAGCCGTGATATTCTCTGGGCATACACATGGACCCAGGTCCATGTCCAACTTTGTCATAATGAGAAAGCAGACCTCTAAAGGCTCAGGTTATTATTCCTTGTTTGTTACAATGTATGTGAGACCAGAGTTTGGCTTTCCAGAGCACATTAGTGTGTTGACTGTTGCAATAAGTCTAAGAACCTGCTGGGTCGGAAAAATAAAATAACTTTAGCCACAGAAACTAGCAGCCACATAAACCTAGAAAATCCCTGGGCAAGTCAGAAAGCGTAAAGCATTTACACATGCTTCTCGTACAAATGAAACTTATGGGGAATCGACCCATTGTACATATTCAGACATAGAAGTTTCAATTCAGACAGATGACTCCTAAAAGAATTTCCTCCAGGGTTGTTACGCTGACAAGAAAACTTAACATTTTCAGCACTTCGAAGGCCTTTCTTTCCTGTGAACTCTCTGATGTTGAGAGAGGGTAGATTTTCGAATAAAAAATTTCCCACATTCACTGCACTCATAAGGTCTTTCTCCAGTGTGACCTCTGCGGTGCTGCGTGTATTGCGAACTATCCCTAAACAACTTTCCACATTCACTGCACTCATAAGGCTTTTCACCAGTGTGAACTCGCTGATGATAACGAAGTTTGGAACTACAGATAAAAGATTTCCCACACTCACTGCATTCATAAGGCCTTTCTCCTGTATGAACTCTCTGATGATAACGGAGCGTGGAACCAGAGGCAAAAGATTTTCCACACTGACTGCATTTGTAAGGCTTTTTTCCTGTGTGAACTCTCTGATGATAAGAGAGTGTGTCACTACTGGCAAAAGTTTTCCCACATTCACTGCACTCATAAGGCCTTTCTCCAGTGTGAACTCTCTGGTGTCGAACAAGTATCGAGCTACTGGTAAAAGATTTCCCACAATCAATGCACTGATATGGCCTTTCACCCCTGTGAAGTCTCCGATGATAACCAAGACCAGAAGTAGAGGTAAAAGATTTACCACACTCATTGCACTTGTACGACCTTTCTCTATTATGAATTCTCTGGTGTATTGAGAGGGAAGATTTGTGGCTAAAAGATTTCCCACATTCGTTACACTTAAAAGGTCTCTCTCCAGTGTGACCTCGCTGGTGTTTAGTGAATTGTGATCTATCTTTAAAAGATTTTCCACATTCATTGCATTCATATGGCCTTTCTCCAGTATGTACTCTGTGATGATAACGAAGGCTTGAGCTAAATGTAAAAGATTTCCCACACTGAGTGCATTTATAAGGCCTTTCTCCTGTATGAACTCTGTGATGGTAATTGAGGGTGGAGCTAGATGTAAAGGATTTCCCACATTCGTTGCATTCATAAGGCCTCTTTCCAGCATGAGTTCTCAGATGATAACAGAGGGTAGAGCTAGAAGTAAAGGATTTCCCACATTCACTGCACACATAAGGTTTTTCTCCTGTGTGAACTCTCCGGTGTTGAATGAGTGTTGACTTATTATTAAAAGATTTCCCACATTCACTACACTCATAAGGCCTTTCTCCTGTGTGAACTCTCTGGTGTAAAATGAGGTTATTTCTTCGAATAAAGGATTTCCCACATTCAGCACATTCATAAGGCCTTTCTCCTGAGTGAGTCTTCTGATGATATTGGAAGTCAGATCTAGAGATAAAAGATTTGCCACATTCACTGCACTCATAAGGCCTTTCTCCTGTATGAATACTTTGATGATAACGGAGGGCAGAGCTAGTAGTAAAAGATCTCCCACATTCACTGCACTCATAAGGCCTTTCTCCAAGGTGACCTCGTTCATGATACTGAAGTGTGGAACTACAAGTAAAAGATTTGCCACAATTACTGCACACATAAGGCTTTTCTCCTGTGTGAATTCTCTGGTGTCGAACAAGTGTCCACCTATTGTTAAAGGATTTCCCACAATCACTGCAGTCATAAGGCCTTTCTCCAGTGTGAACTCTATGATGATAACGGAGGCTAGAACTAAAGGTAAAAGATTTACCACATTCACTACACTGATAAGGCCTGTACCCTGAGTGAACTCTAAGGTGTATAAGGAGGTTATTTCTTCGGGTAAAGGACTTCCCACATTCAGTGCATTCATAAGGCCTTTCTCCAGTGTGAACTCTCTGATGATAACGAAGAGCTGTACGAGTGATAAAAGATTTCCCACATTCACTGCACTCATGAGGCCTCTCTCCAGAATGAACTCTCTGATGATAACGCAGGTCAGACCTAGAGATAAAAAATTTTCCACAATCACTGCACCCATAAGGCCTTTCTCCTGTGTGAGAGCTCTGATGATAACTGAGGGCGGCGACAGAGGTAAAAGATTTTGCACAGTCATTACACTTATAAGGCTTTTCTCCAGTTTGAACTTTCTGATACTGAATTAAAACTGAGCTATGTCTAAAAGATTGTGTACACTCACTGCACATGTAACTGTTTTCTGCATTGTGCTGTTCCTTGGAATTGATGAGGACAGATCTGTGGCTCAATGATTTTCCACATTTGCTGCATTTGTACTGCCTTGCTCCTGGATGAATTTTTCGATGCTGATTGACAGTTGAGCTTCTACTAAAGAATTTTCCACTTTCGCCACATAGACGAGAACTTTTTCCAGTGTGGGTTCTGCAGTGAGTAACAAATGAGGATTTGTACCTGAATGTTTTTCCACATTCACTGCACACAAAACACTGTTTTCCAGTATGGACATCCTGGTCCTGAACAAGTATGTGTTGGGAGTTAAAGGTTTTCTTCCATTCTCCCGAAGTGTAAAGACCTTTTCTGCTTTGTAAAGTTGCTTCCCACTGGTTGTCTTTGTTTGGCTCCTTCACTGTATCAGTGTCCTGTTGCTGATGATGTCCTAAGCTGGACAGGACGTTCTTCTCAGCCTCCCCACAAGCAATGGACTTCTGTGACACATGGATTCTGCAGCTATTCACAAATGAGGCCGTGTGCACACTACTTCTGAAGGGTTTCTCTCTCATGCGAACCTCTCGGTGGGGGTGGCAGTTTATACTAAAATAAAATCGTTTTGCACATGCCCCACACCTCAGCAGTTTAGGGATGTGTTGTGTTCCATGCTGTTCAACCAAGTGGAAAATGTCTCTCAAGACCGGCCCACAACTCTTACAGGGGTGGCTCTTCTGTGAAGACGCAGCTGCCTTGGGATTCTTTGCCTGTGACATTCCAACAGAAATGCTCTGTTCAGTGGGTGTCTCCACATCGTCTGCTCCACAGCAGCAACCTGAACACAAAGAAATGCTAGTGAAGTACGTGTTGACTAATGGGAGGGGAGAACCCTATCATATATATGCATGTGTCACATGTACACATGAATGAATGACATGCTTTTCAAAGCAATAAAATTAAGTTGAAGAACTGGCTAACTGTTTTGTATTAGTAGACTTATAAGGTCAGAAAATGGTGAAAACTGCACCGGAGGAAGAATGCATGGACAGGTTATGACACAAAGAAGAAAGGCAGGGGATATAATGCATTTCAGCTACCAACCGATTCCTCCATATCGTTTGCTGCCAATGATGTGAAGCTTGGTAGAAGCATGCATGTAAGCCTATTACTAATCAACTGCAATATGTTAAGTCAAGGTCAATATAGAAATTTGTGAACATCTCACAGCACAACAGTGAGGGCCAATATTGAGGAGTACTGCATGAACAGCAGTGAGAGAGCAAATGAGATGTGGAGTCAAGAAAGGGGGAAATACCCCTAGGGTAGAAACCATAGCAGAAATGACGAATTACAGAACTAAGAAGCTGACCAAGTGTCAAAGCTGGAAGAGGAGAGTAGAAATGGGTTTGACTAATGGCAGTGACACAAGAACTCTGGTTGAGCAAAGAAGGTTCCTGGTAGGATCGAAAGAATGTCCTGACAGCACAATCTCCACAGCTGGCATTCACCAGGACCACAACTCCTGTGAGCCTACTTTGTAATGGCTGGAGAGATATCCATTCTGTGATACAGGCAGAAAGGACTCTTCTCTGAAAGTCATAGCAGGGCAACTACATGGAACATGGACGATACAAGGAAAAAAGAGGACAAGTGAATGGCCAGGTTGTCCCAGAGTTAACTCAACACACAATAGACCCAAAAAACACATCTAGGTGAGTAATGTCAGCGTGATGGAGGAGAAAACCAGTTTTGTCACCAACAACAAAAAATTAAGAGCTATTTACAAACAAAGTTAGCACTTTGAGTACAATTAAAATACTACAGCAACATAGGAGAGTATAAAAAGAATAACCACACAAAAAGAATCTCTGGGGACATCAGCTTAGTGACAACACCTGGAGAAGGTAAAGAAATAAGAAAGGCAGGAGTGCACTGGCCAGTTTGGTTCAGCAGCTAGAGCGTCAACCCATGGACCAAAGAGTCGGGGGTTCAATTCCTGTCATAGGCATGTACCTTGGTTGTGGTTTGGTCCCTGGCCCTGGTCAGGATTGTGTGGGAGGCAACCAATCAATGTATCTCTTACAGCGATGCTTCTATCTCTCTCTCTTCCCCCCTCCTTCCCACTCTATCCGAAAATTAGTGAAAAAAATCCTCCAGTGAGAATTTTAAAAAAGAAGAAAAAGGCAAGAGCCATGTGTACCAAAGAGCAGATACTACAGCATTCCCAATGTCCTGCTCTGCAGCAGACCCCAAAAGCCTTTGCCATAAAGATCCTTAACAGCTCCTGCTACAGCTTGAAGACCTCCACAGTTTGCACAACAAAGGAGGTAACTATAAGCATGAACCCCAGCTGCCTACTCCACAGAGGATAGTAGCTGCTTTCATATTGCAGAAACCAAAAGCCATTGTCATGGGAGACCTACCAGAGAATAATAGGTGAGTTGCACCCTCCCCAAAAAGGTGCCATAGCTCCAAGACCAGGGCAGCCACATCCTACATCACCGACCCCAAAGCTACAACTGTTCCTGAAATGCCCGTTAGATAACCTGATTCCATTGCTGTCATGTGAGTGCCCACGTGTCAGACACTAAAAGCATGGCCATGGTGGGTAGCTACCTGCTCAGAAACCAGAGACACTGTCTCTCTGATCACAGGCGCCATCACTGATCAAGGTGTGACTGGCACCTCACATAGAAAAGTTAATGCTACTGGGGCTATTCAATATTTAAGACCTGAGAATTGGTATTTCTCCACGTCTATTCGCCCCAAACAAATGCACATCTGTAAATGGTCAGAAAAAGATGTCAAAATAAGTAATATAAGAAAGCCCAAGTAACTACAAAAAAAGGAAGGTCGTGGGTAAGATTCCAGGTCAGGGTACATGTTTGTTGCGGGTTAAATCCTCAGTTGGGGTTCGTATAAGAGGCAACCAATCAATGTGTCTCTCTTGCATCTCTCTCTCTCTCTCTCTCTCTCTCTCCCTCGCTCCCTCCCTCCCTCCCCCTCACATCCTATCTCCTCCCCTTCACATCCTATCTGAAAATCAGTGGGAAAATATCCTCAGGTGAGGATTAAAAAAAAAAAAAAAACAGGAAGAAGGTTGTCAAAGGGAGAAAAAGGAGAGACATCTGTAATAAAAAAAGTCAATTAATTATTAAAATAATATGTGACCTGATTGATGTTGCTCCATGGTTAGAGCATCAACCTGAGCACCAAAGGGTCATGGGTTCAATTCCTGGTCAAGGGCACATAACTGGGTGCAGGTTAAATCTCTAGCCCTGGTCAGTCGGGGCATGTGTGGGAGGCAACCAATCCATGTATCTCTCTCGGATGTTTTTTTCTCTCTCCCCTTCCCTCCATTCCATTCTCTTTCTAAAAATCAATGGAAAAAATATCCTCGTGTGAATATTAACCAAAAAAATCCCATACAATGTGTGTGTAAGGGTAAAAGAGAAGAGCTTTGGTAAGCAACTGAAGTTATAAGCTTAAAGTAGAATGTTTTAACTATAAGAAGTTCTATATAAGCCTCTAGTAAACAAAAAGCAAAATGCTATACTAGATACACAAAATACAAAGACAAAGAATAACAACATACCACTGAATCATCAAATTACAAAGGAAAAAAGAGAGGAAGAAATAAAGAAACTACAAAGAAGCCACACAATAATAAACAACGTGGTAATAGATCTAAAAAAATTCTCCAATTAGGAGACAGTGGCTGAACAACAACAACAAAAAAAACTACATGCTGTCTACCACAGAGTAACTTCAGCTTTAAAGACACACATAGATTAAAAACAATATTCCAGTCCAGACCAGTGTGACTCAGTAAGTTGAGTGTCATCCCATGCACCAAGAGGTCACCAATTCAATTCCCAGTCAGGATACATGCATGGGATGTGGGCTGGAACCCCAGCAGGGGGCGTGAAGGAGGCAGGCAACTGATGTTTCCCTCACTCTCTAAAAAAATCAGTAACAATAAAAAAAAACAAAAAAAACCATCAAGGACAGCAAGCACCCCAGTGCACATCGATTCTCCTTCTCCTGTCTCCTTCATTTCTGCATGGACAATATCACTGAGCATTGTATCTAAAAGTCAGGAATTCTGCCCTGGCCGGTTTGGCTCAGCGGTTAGAGCATTGGCCTGCGGACCAGAGAGACCCAGGTTCAGTTCCTGATAAGGGCATGTACCTCGGTTGCAGTTTATCCCCGGCCCCGGTTGGGTAGTACGGGTGGTAACCACTTGATGTGTCCCTTTCACGTTGATGTTTCTCTCTCTCTCCTCCTCTGTCTCCCTCCCACTCTATCTGAACAACAACAACAACAAACGAAAGAATGTTCTCGGGTGAGGATTAAAAATAAATAAATAAATAAAAATAAATAAAAGTCAGGAATTCTACATAGATTAAAGTTTTAACACTGGATCACAGATGAACAATAAAGGCAACCACCAGAATCCTGGCTTCCTGTGATTTTCTGAACTCCACTAGTATGTGTTCACGGGGGTACCATTGCACAGGAGGAGCATCACCCACAGAAATATATTAAAAAGAGAGAGATTCCACACAAATGGAAATCAATATAGAACAGGGGAAGCTACACAAAATGGACTTTTAAGTCAAAAACTGTCAAAAGAGCCCTGGCCGGTGTGGATCAGTTGCTTGGATGACATCCCATCCACCGCAAGGTTGCCAATTCAGTAACACTTGATCCCCAGGAGAGAGTGTGCATGAGGCAGCTGATTGATGTTCTGCTCTCACATAGTTGTTTCTCTCCCTGTTCCATCCTCTCTCTCTAAAAATCAACAATAATAATAAAAAATTTTAGAAACTGTCACAAGAGACAAAAGGGTCATTACATAATGAAAATGGAGTCAACTCATCAAGAGAATGTACAATTGTATGTATCACATATCAGAGTATCAAAATTAAGTATTAATCAAATACCACCACATCTTAAGGCAGAAAAGGCAATAGAATATTAACAAAAAACCTCAATATCCTTTTATCAACAATGGATGGATAACCAGACAGAAAATTTAATAAAGATATATCTAAAATAATCAAAATGGATTTAACATAGAGAACCTTCCTTCCTATTCCACAATACACATTCTTCTCAAGTACACATAGAATATTCTCTAGGATAGATAATTTGTTACATCAATGAGGCCTTAACAAATTTCAGAAGATTGAAATTTTATCAAGTACCTTTTCCTAACACAACGAATAATACTAGTAATCAGTAACAGAAGGAAAGTTGAAAAATTCAGACATGTGTACATTAAACAACACATTCCTGACCATTCAATTTGAGAAAAAAAAATCAAGTGGAGAATCAAAATATATTTAAGACAAAACTGGAAACAAAACATATGGAACATGCAAATGTAGTCCTAAGAGGAATGTTCAGAGCTATAAATGCCGATGTTGAGAAAATAGAAAGATTTGCTCTGGCCAGCATGGCTCAATTGTTTGGGCATCGTTTAGTACAATGAAAGGTTGCAGGTTCAATTCCCAGAGTACATGCCCTGGTTGCGAGCTTGATCCCTGGTAGGGGGAGTGCAGGTGGCAGGCGATCAATGTTGTGCTCTCACATTGATGGTTCTCTCTCTTTCCCTTCCTCTCTCTCTAAAAATTTAAAAAAAAAAAAAAGATGCCCTGGCTGGTTCGGCTCAGTGGTTAGAGTGTTGGCCTGCGGTCTGGAGAAACCCAGGTTCGGTTCCCACTAAGGGCACGTACCTTGGTTGCAGTTTGTCCCCTGCCCTGGTTGGGTTGTGTGGGTGGCAACCACTCGATGTGTCCCTTTCACGTCAATGTTTCTCTCTCTCTCTCT